TCCCTTCCCTGGGAGCCCCCTGGGGCTCCTGCCCTCCTCCGCTCTCCTGGGGGGGGCGGTCTCTGCTCCCAGGCCCCTCCCCTCTGAAAGGGCCTCTAAGGGCCCCTGCCCCTCCTCACTGACTTGGGGGGGTGGCTCTGAGCTCTTAAGCCCCTCCCTCTTCTGGGCTCAAGGGGGCGTGGCTTTTCTCACAGACTCCTCCCCTTCACCCAGAGGGCGTGTCTGTCTGACACTCCTTCAGGGGGAGGAGGGGGGTGACTGTCTTGTCCCTGGGCCTCTCCCTCTCCACGGCACCCCTGGGAGGGGTAGGAGGCTGGGGAGATGATGGAGCCCACCACATGGTTTGATGCCCCTCGCCTCCGGGGGGGGGGCTTTCTGCTCCCAGGCCCCGCCCCTTCCAGCCCCCCACTCCGCTCCGCCCACTAGACCCCACTCTCCGCTCCGAGCTGGGACCGAACCGGGAACCCCGACTCCCAGCCCCCCACTCCGCTCCGCCCACTAGACCCCACTCTCCGCTCCGAGCTGGGACCGAACCGGGAACCCCGACTCCCAGCCCCCCACTCCGCTCCGCCCACTAGACCCCACTCTCCGCTCCGAGCTGGGACCGAACCGGGAACCCCGACTCCCAGCCCCCCACTCCGCTCCGCCCACTAGACCCCACTCTCCGCTCCGAGCTGGGACCGAACCGGGAACCCCGACTCCCAGCCCCCCACTCCGCTCCGCCCACTAGACCCCACTCTCCGCTCCGAGCTGGGACCGAACCGGGAACCCCGACTCCCAGCCCCCCACTCCGCTCCGCCCACTAGACCCCACTCTCCGCTCCGAGCTGGGACCGAACCGGGAACCCCGACTCCCAGCCCCCCACTCCGCTCCGCCCACTAGACCCCACTCTCCGCTCCGAGCTGGGACCGAACCGGGAACCCCGACTCCCAGCCCCCCACTCCGCTCCGCCCACTAGACCCCACTCTCCGCTCCGAGCTGGGACCGAACCGGGAACCCCGACTCCCAGCCCCCCACTCCGCTCCGCCCACTAGACCCCACTCTCCGCTCCGAGCTGGGACCGAACCGGGAACCCCGACTCCCAGCCCCCCACTCCGCTCCGCCCACTAGACCCCACTCTCCGCTCCGAGCTGGGACCGAACCGGGAACCCCGACTCCCAGCCCCCCACTCCGCTCCGCCCACTAGACCCCACTCTCCGCTCCGAGCTGGGACCGAACCGGGAACCCCGACTCCCAGCCCCCCACTCCGCTCCGCCCACTAGACCCCACTCTCCGCTCCGAGCTGGGACCGAACCGGGAACCCCGACTCCCAGCCCCCCACTCCGCTCCGCCCACTAGACCCCACTCTCCGCTCCGAGCTGGGACCGAACCGGGAACCCCGACTCCCAGCCCCCCACTCCGCTCCGCCCACTAGACCCCACTCTCCGCTCCGAGCTGGGACCGAACCGGGAACCCCGACTCCCAGCCCCCCACTCCGCTCCGCCCACTAGACCCCACTCTCCGCTCCGAGCTGGGACCGAACCGGGAACCCCGACTCCCAGCCCCCCACTCCGCTCCGCCCACTAGACCCCACTCTCCGCTCCGAGCTGGGACCGAACCGGGAACCCCGACTCCCAGCCCCCCACTCCGCTCCGCCCACTAGACCCCACTCTCCGCTCCGAGCTGGGACCGAACCGGGAACCCCGACTCCCAGCCCCCCACTCCGCTCCGCCCACTAGACCCCACTCTCCGCTCCGAGCTGGGACCGAACCGGGAACCCCGACTCCCAGCCCCCCACTCCGCTCCGCCCACTAGACCCCACTCTCCGCTCCGAGCTGGGACCGAACCGGGAACCCCGACTCCCAGCCCCCCACTCCGCTCCGCCCACTAGACCCCACTCTCCGCTCCGAGCTGGGACCGAACCGGGAACCCCGACTCCCAGCCCCCCACTCCGCTCCGCCCACTAGACCCCACTCTCCGCTCCGAGCTGGGACCGAACCGGGAACCCCGACTCCCAGCCCCCCACTCCGCTCCGCCCACTAGACCCCACTCTCCCCTGTGAGCTGGGACAGAACCAGGAACCCCAACTCCCAGCCCCCCACTTCGCTCCGCCCACTAGACTCCACTCTCCGAGCTGGGACAGAACCAGGAACCCCAACTCCCAAGAGCGGCCCCACGCCTGCTCCCGCTGCAGCAAGGCCTTCCTCAGCGCCTCTGCTCCGCCCACTAGACACCGCTCTCCCCTCCAAGCTGGGACAGAACCAGAATCCCCGACTCCCAGCCCCCTTCTCTGCTCCTCCCAATAGACCCCACTCTCCTCTCCGAGCAGGGGCTGGAACCCAGGAGTCTTGTGCTGGGGGCTGGACCTTGGACAGGTCTTTCACTCAGTCACTCCTTCAACAGCCCACTAAGCCCCTCCCCTCCCTGAGCGGATGGGGGTGTGGCTATGTGGTCCCAAGCCCCACCCCCTCACTGAAGAGGCGTGGCCAAACGATGCCCTCGGGGGATCCTGATTCTCATGCCCTGTTGCTCCTGCCACTTTCTAGGGCTCTTCCTAGAGGGGGGAGGTCTCCGGAAGTCTGAGCCCCTCCCCTTCCCTTGAAGGGTGTGGCTGTCCATCTCAGCCCCTCCCCTCTCACTCCCTCTGGGCGGGGGGGCAGCTCGGTGCCCCTAGGCCGAGCGCGAGCCTGCTGTCTGAGCCGGTGATGCTCTTTCCTCCTGGGCCCTTCCTCCAAGGGGGCGTGGCTCCGAGTTCTCCTGGCCCCTCCCCAACATGCTGCTGTACAGACCCCGGTCACTGGATCCCCTGTGCTGCTTTACCTCCAGCCCGGCCGCCTCCCCTGGCAGGCAGGGCTGGCCCAGTGCCCAAGGGCAATACTAGGGGGCATTGTGGGGCAGGGCCCAGCAGGGGGCGCTGTGGGGCAGGGAGCGGGGCAGGGCTCAGCAGGGGGCGCTCTCCCCTGGCAGGCAGGGCTGGCCCAGTGCCCAAGGGCAATACTAGGGGGCATTGTGGGGCAGGGCCCAGCAGGGGGCGCTGTGGGGCAGGGAGCGGGGCAGGGCTCAGCAGGGGGCGCTCTCCCCTGGCAGGCAGGGCTGGCCCAGTGCCCAAGGGCAATACTAGGGGGCATTGTGGGGCAGGGCCCAGCAGGGGGCGGGCGCTGTGGGGCGGGAGAGGGGCAGGGCCCAGCAGGGGGCGCTCTCCCCTGGCAGGCAGGGCTGGCCCAGTGCCCAAGGGCAATACTAGGGGGCATTGTGGGGCAGGGCCCAGCAGGGGGCGCTGTGGGGCAGGGAGCGGGGCAGGGCTCAGCAGGGGGCGCTCTCCCCTGGCAGGCAGGGCTGGCCCAGTGCCCCAGGGCGGTGCTAGGAGGCGCTGTGGGGCAGGGAGCGGGGCAGGGCTCAGCAGGGGGGGCTCTCCCCTGGCAGGCAGGGCTGGCCCAATGCCCCTAGGTGGCGCTGTGGGGCGGGAGAGGGGCAGGGCCCAGTGAAGGTCACAGAGCTCAGCCCTGGGGAGAGCAGAGAGGGGGAGATGCTGAGAGGAGCCGCGTGAGCCCGTCGGTGCTGCCCTGACCCTCTTTCCAAGTACCACTCTCCCGGCAGGGACACAGCCCAGCGCTGGCTGCCAGCAGGACCAGAGACAGCGCAGCCCCGGAGACGGGTGAGTGATGGACCCACATCAGGGACCCCGGCCGAGATCAGGGCCCCATCGCGCCGGGTGCTGCTCAGACCTCCCCGTGCCCTGCTGAGACTGGGGGCCCGGTCACTCTAGTGCTGCACAGACCTCAGCCCAGATCCCTAGTCCCCCTGTTCCAGCCCTCTGGCCCCACTGCTCCGCCAGCGCAACGAGAGCCCCAGCGTCTGCCCTAGCGGGGCTGCCCACGATCTCAGCCTGCCCCCTGTTCTGGGGGCAGCGGACAGGTGCAGCAGCTGGGGAGTGAGGGGCACCGGCAGAGCCAAGCAGCCAACACTCAAACGTGCTTTTCTTGCCTGCCTATGCTGGAGAAAGAGACACGTTTCCTGTCCCCCCCCAGTCCAAGCCACCTGCCATCACGGGTACAGAGCTGTCACCTCCTTCCTGCCCCGAGCCTCCAGCGCGATGCAGGCTCCCACCTCAGTGGAACACAGTCCAAATCCACATTTGACTCAGCAGCAGGTGTGGTTAGTGAGGGCAGAGAGCAGCGCGTGGGAGAGAAGGTCAGAGCTTCTGGGGTGGCAGGAAGGGGACGGGATGCCAGGCTAGAGGGGCCCATGGGGCTGCTCTAGGGTGCTAGGGAGGGGGCAGCATCCTGGGCTGGATGGGCCCATGGGACAGATCCAGGGAAAAAGAGAGGGAGCGGGATACCGGACGCTCCCCACCACCAACCCCAGAAATTGACCCTCCAAGTTGTGGTTCAACATAACAAAATCCATCCCCCTGCATGGCCACCAGGGGTCCCCGGCGGTCTATGGTGAGACGTGTCGGGGCTCGCAAGTCCGAACCGCTCACCGGGGGACAGCCCCCACGCCCCTTCTTGGGAAGTCCACGCTCTCCTGGGCGGCTGCCCCTCCAGCTCCTCGGCTGGTGCCTCTCAGGGCCTTCGGCCTGTCTCTGCCCTCAGGGGATCCCCTCCTTCGGACCCCCCGGGGCCTTCACGCCCAGAGGGACTCGTGCACCCCTGTTCTCCAGCCCGGAGCGACTCCCCTCAGCACCCAACAGGGGGGTTCACTGAGCTTTGAATGCAGCAAAGGATCCCTCAGGCCTGTCGGCCTCCGCGCCTCCCCCCCGCCCAGCACGTCACTCTCTGTCCCGTTCAGAAGCCGCCTTCTTCCAATATCCCCTCCAGCAGCCCCTCCCTGTCTCCTATTCAAGTATTGAGGGTCGCCTTGGTCCCTCTTCTCCGCTTCCCCTCCTCCATCCATGGTTCTCCTGGCTGGAACCAGCTGGGCAGGGCACTGAGGTCTCCTCTCCACAGCCCACTTGGGCCATCCCAGCTGCATCTGCCGGTCACCAGGGCACCCGTTGCGGGAGTGTTCACTTGGGTGCGATTTCCTGTAACAGCAAACTCCCGCGCCCCGCACTGCGCCAACGACGTCAAAGGGCACAGCCCTGTCTACACTGGGGAGTTGTTTGGAAATAACAAGTGGAGTTAATCCCCAGGCTGCTGGCTAACCCTCATAATCACGACAGCGTCCACTCTACCTGTTATTTTGAAACGATAACTCCAGCTTCCTGTGAGGGAGGGATGTGATGGTTGCAGTCCATCAACCGGTTAACTGATAAGCAAAAAAGGGAAACAAGACGACTTTTTATAAATACATTAGAAGCAAGAGGAAGACCAAGGACAGGGTAGGCCCACTGGTCAGTGAGGAGGGAGAAACAGTAACAGGAAACTTGGAAATGGCAGAGATGCTTAATGACTTCTTTGTTTCGGTCTTCACCGAGAAGTCTGAAGGAATGCCTGACATAGTGAATGCTGGCGGGAAGGGGGGAGGTTTAGAAGATAAAATTTAAAAAACAAGTTAAAAATCACTTAGAAAAGTTAGATGCCTGCAAGTCACCAGGGCCTGATGAAATGCATCCTAGAATACTCAAGGAGCTGATAGAGGAGGTATCTGAGCCTTTAGCTATCATCTTTGGAAAATCATGGAAGATAGGAGAGATTCCAGAAGATTGGAAAAGGGGAAATATAGTGCCTATCTATAAAAAGGGAAATAAAAACAAGCCAGGAAACTACAGACCTGTCAATTTAACTTCTATGCCAGGAATGATAATGGAGCAAGTAATTAAGGAAAACATTTGCAAACACTTGGGAAATAATAAGGTGATAGGAACAGCCAGCATGGATTTATAAAGAACATATCATGTCAAACCAATCTGATAGCTTTCTTTGACAGGATAACTAGTCTTGTGGCTAGGGGAGAGGCGGTGGACGTGGTATACCTGGAATTTAATAAGGCATTTGATACGATCTCGCATGATATTCTTATCAATAAACTAGGCAAATACAACTTAGATGGGGCTACTATAAAGAGGGTGCCTAACTGCCTGGATAACCATTCTCAGAGAGTAGTTATTAACAGTTCACAATCCTGCTGGAAAGGAATAACAAATGGGGTTCTGCAGGCGTCTGTTTTGGGACCGGTTCTGTTCAATATCTTCATCAACTATTTAGATATTGGCATAGAAAGTACACTTATTAAGTTTGCAGATGATACCAAGCTGCGAGAGGTTGCAACTTCTTTGAAGGACAGGGTCATCATTCAAAATGATCTGGACAAATTGGAGAAATGGTCTGAGATAAATAGGATGAAGTTTAATAAGGACAAATGCAAAGTGCTCCACTTAAGAAGGAACAATCAGTTTCACACATAGGCTTTGTCTAAACTACACCCCTCTGTCAGCAGAGAGATGTGAATTAGATACATCGGAAGTGCAAATGAAGCAGGGAATTAGATATCCCCAACTTCATTCACATACTCACGTTCTGGTGCT